GTGCAGTTGGAGTGCATGCAAAGCTGCGTGACTCACATTCTTTGGAATGATCAACTCAGAGAGCACTACGCTGGCTTCCTGTTGCATAGAATGAAGTCTGGACAGTCTGAGAGCAAAACAGGAAACGACGTGCCGGAGGTGCATTTTGCATTTACAGTAAGTGAGGGCAGCTACAAACATCTGAATTCGGTGAAAGTTACCGTTGCCACCCTAGCTACCGTACTACCGTTTCACCGTGATATCCTCAATGACAATTCACGTTTAGTTTTGGATAAGCAAACAAGCATTAAATGAACAGACGGCTTCAGTTATTGGTTTATTTGAAAGCCCCTGGTGATGTAGTGGTTCACTTATTTGACTTTTGTGCATGTAGGATGGGTTCAGCTCTCTCTCAGACATGGGGAAAATGTTAGTGTGAATCGTTGCCTGAGACTGAACCCCCCAACTTGAACCTTAAGCCGTTATTTAAGACAACCTGGCCCAAATCCAATCCATAACCCCAAACTCTGACTCTTTAGACAATCTCAACTCCAAGGGAGAACTCAACCTCCTTATCCATAAACTCATCACACTGAACAGAATAAGATGGAGGGTTAAACGTTCATCTGATGAGTGACATTTAAGTTCTGGACTACCTTACTTTTTGCTCTCGCTGCAACATTCCAATCCAGGAACATTCCTGGAATTTTGAAACACCAATTCCAGCTGGGGAAAAAAAAGTGTCCTGTCATTTTATTTTGACAAAGGAGCAGATGGAACAATCGATTCAATTTCCCCATGTTGAAATGTTATGTCATCCATGAAAGACGAATTACCGTCTGCCGTAAGTGATGGCTTTACAGTACCCAGGAAAGATGATGTGGGAAGAAAGCAAGAGTATTCATTAAATGGGAACATCGTGTTTATATCCCTCTCTTTCGTAACGAGTGTTCCAACCAACACTGTTATTTGTTGTGGAAGCCACAGTCAGGCTGTTTGTGGCTGAGATCAGCCATTCGTTCTGCTGTGAATCTGAACAGGGTGTTTGCCGTTGTGTCACAATATTGAAGCAGCTCATTTTTAAAGTTCTTGATGCCATGGGAAGTTGGCCACATTTTAGCGTTTCAACTCCTCTTGCCATGTTCTGCGTGTGAACCCGCTCAAGGCTCCCGTGGAAATCAATGCATGTACTCTTGTGCGTGTGCTGCACGGTCACAATAGGCCCTCATCGGCAGGCCATATCTCGACTTCATTTACTCCTCGCCGGATCCTAATAAATGTCTCCTCTCCGCTGTACTCAATTACATCTTCATTAGGTTGCTAACTTGCTCCCAACTAACCATCAACGTGCGTGCAGATTTTAAGTCCCTGTGACATTAATTACCAAGATAGCTGAGTCCACAGGTGACGGGAGTGAGGGCTACTCGGTGATACGCATTCTATCTTCATCTCTCGGGACCATTCAGCGTCTGGAGCCGCAGTCTCCGGTCTCATCATAGCATCAATTCATTTTCATTTATCCACTGATGAACTCGGTTCCTTCATCATTTACTCGAGGCTGTCTCTAAACAAGATGAGTGGCTGACATGGTGACCTCTTCCTTTCAGGGTCTGCCAATCAAGTTCGAGACGCATTATAATTAGCAGATAAACAATCGGAGAGTGTTCCCATTCCAGAAGATGACGCGTTACATCACATTCAATACAAGAAGAAAGACTCAGACTGCCGATTTAGCAGCCCTAAGTTCATATACACTCACTGGACATCTCATTAGGAAGAGTGTTTCTTTTTGAATGCAATGAAGTTGATTCCCCTTGGAAACAGCAAATAATTTAAATTGTTGTCTGAATGTTTGTGAATAGGTATTGGTTAATATAGACTGATAGCACAATTACTCAAGTAATTTTTTGACCTTACTTTTACCAAATCAATCCAAAAACTCTCTCTCTCTCTCTCTCTCTCTCTCTCTCTCTCTCTCTCTCTCTCTCTCTCTCT